GACCCCCCCCCGCCCCCCCCCCCTCCAAATAATCCTGCATCCGCCCCTGCATAGGGTATTCAGATAAGGAGAACATCGACCCTTTTGAATCTATATTTTATCTCTGAGGCATATTCAGTTGGAATTGAGCCTCCAAACTTGCCACAGAATTTGCTATAATATGTTCTTGATAGTCTGTATATATATATGGCCCCAATAAATCAGCAATAAATGAGCTTCTCTTATACTGGACCTCTTACCTTTCCATTCCACCTGAGTTATGCAGGCGTCTTGGTGTGGGTCACACAGTTTGTGTTCTTTCACGCACCGGTCATTGTTGTTGTCCTGGTCCCTGCACTCGTAACATTCTAATGCAAGGGCTGAAATATGTGGAGATATAAATAATACTTTTTCTTTAAAGTAATAATGCACATTTTGACAACATCAAAGTACTATGGCTGGAAGAGTTCCTCTTTTATCATTCAAATTTCCAATTCAGAATAATGCCTGGAATTGACAAAAATCAATCACCGTATGTAGTTAACATTACAGAACAGGCAATACTACAATTAAGCTTTAGATTCAAGAATGAGATCAAATGACATCGGTTTTATGGGGGTACATGAAATGTTTTCGCCAAAAATTATACTTTGTTCTTTATTTGATTTAGGCCTACGTCAACAAGAAGCATTTTCTATAAAATGAATTGGAGCAAAAAGTCTGTCCCAAATAGAGATATCTACATCTGTGTTTTTATCTCTTTGTGCGACACATAGCAAGCTTGTTTATGCCTGGTGAAGCAATACCGGAAAACTTTGCAGATAAGAGATAAGATCTTAACAAGCTGAGTTGGGATGTCACCTTGAATTCAAGAAAGGTATCTTCCCCAAAAACACTGATATTACGTCATGCAGGAGATCGTGAAAAAGGAATTTTGGAAGAAATGAGTGTATGAATAATGTGTTATCGACATCCTGTTAATTAAGCATTTCTACCTGGTGAGAAGAATTTACTGATTACACAGAGATACGCGCTGAAAATAACTCCTTTCATCAGCCTACTGTCCAAGTCAAACCACCCGGCTAAAAATGACCTCTGTGTAAGCTTTATCATCTTAAAATGTGACTTTATTGACTTATATAAAAGTATAATGATAATGATACTTCTTTATGGCAGATATGTCCTCTAATTTTTAAGAAGATAAATAAGGCTCCCTCCCAAATCGTATTATGTAGTAGTACGTGTAGTTCTATTCTTGTTTTCTCTAGATTAAAAAAATCAAACAGCTGGAAAACCCCATGTTTTCTGGACATTTGAACATGTTCTTAAGTAAAAGGCCTTACAGAATGGAAATTGCTTTCGTTTTTGGCGGGATTTTACAAGTGAAGTATATTTTCGGCGTTATTCTTCATTCACATTTGAAATTGAAAATATATTTATATAAATTGGAGCTAATGCCTACTGAATTGCATGCACCACTCTTTCAGTATTGAATTTCAGTTTAAATCCTCCTTTCTCCCTACAAAATGGACATACTTAAAATGTTAAATAGATATGATAATTTTATTTACTTAAAGTTCACATTTATGATGAGTAAAAGTTGGTATTAAGTCTTTTTAATTGTAGACTCCGTAAAATAAAGATCTTTCAGTAATGATGTTCATGGAGTATCTTACACTATTTTTAGGATGATGGAGGAAGAGAGATACTGGGAAGAAAGAAGACGTTATGAAGAAGAAATGGAGTTTTGGCAAAATCGTATGGGCAGAGGAGGGCCTTTTACAGGTCCACCCATGGTATGATAATGTATTTTTTATTTTCCTGTATGTGGAACTGTGGTAGTTGAAATTTCATACTAAAAAAGTATGTCATGATAAAAAATTGTCGCATAAATACCCATCAGCTCTTTAGTGAATCTTAATATGACTGATTAATGTAAAATATGATATTATTATTTAGCCTATGAGGCGTCCTGATACATCTGATGACAGGCACGTGATGGCCAAACATGCTAGCATTTATCCAAATGAGCAAGAGGTAAGAAGCTGCTTTGATGATATTAACTTCAGTTACCTGGTGTGATGGGTGACTCTTCGAGCGATACAAAAGGATGCACTGTATATTTGTACTCATACGCTTTATCACTGCTGCTTGTTTTCACAAACTTGTGTGACTGTACGTAAGGTTCAAATAAATCTATGTCCTCTTTTGTTCCACTTCCTAAATTCTTGCTTCTTACTTAGGTGATGTCTGTTGTAAAATAAACTGCTCACTCTATGTGGCATTGCCTATTATTGAGTGGGTGTGTGTGGGCTGTACTAATTGCAGGGGTATAAAGGTGTATGTCCTTTACACCTGGTATGTACTATTTTAGGAGTTAAAAATGTGAGCTGGGAACTTAAACATTCAGAATGCTAGTTCCCATTCTAGTATATATCTTTCATTGAATTCAAATGCAGGGAACAAATTTTGGTTTTACTTTTAGCTTCAAGCTGTCCAAAGTATTGTCTCTACCTGTGAAAAGGCTCTCAAATTGGTCTCTGATGCCATTGCTGAAAGGTAAGACATCATGTAAGACTCTTAAAAAGGTGCTTGTGAATTATCAGTAAACTAATCTTTTCCACATAATAAGATGAAATTGATGGAAGAAAATGTAAGCAAATCAAAAAGTGAATTTAGATGTCTCTTAAATTTTTGCTTGTGGCATTTTTCAGTGATAATCCTAGACCTGCAGAGGCAGAAAAGTTAATAAAGACTGAGAAGAAAGATGAAAAAGAGGCTGAAGCAAAGGAAGGGTGAGCTTTTTATGCATATATTTATTTTTGAAAGAAATGTTATTTTACTTCCTCCAAATAAATGATTACATGTATAATTAATTAGCCTAAATCAAATTATTATTATTGTTATTACATTTTAAGAGTGGGATAAAATTTAATCACCAAATAAACTGGCAAGAATTATCTTTTGAAAAAAATTGATTCATTCATTTCAGTGATAAGGAGGATGACCCCAATCAGCCTCCTAGAGCTCTGAAGGGTGTGATGAGAGTGGGTGTGCTGGCCAAAGGATTACTTTTACGTGGCAATCTGAATGTGCAACTGGTTGTTCTCTGCTCTGAGAAACCTACAAGGACATTACTGGAGAGAGTAGCAGATGTCCTGCCTAAACAAATGGCTGTAAGTTATACTGCTAGGCATTGGACTTGTGCTCCCTTACTGTCATCATGAGAAGTTTAATTCATTTAGTATGGATGTTTTGATCTTAGAATTTAGTTTGATGACATGACTGATCTTGTAAAGAAAAAAAAAAATTTTAATATAAATATATTTGCAAAATATGCAGTGTTAAAGGTACTTACAACAATCCTCTTTTCAGACTGTAACTGATGAGAAATATGAAGTAAAAATTTGCGTTGAGGAGGCTGGTATAATAGTGAGCAGTGCTAGCGAGCCAGAGACCACATGCACAGTCACCCTGACTTCTCCCATCATGAGGGAAAATGCTCCCGAAGGAGGTAAAACATGGAACTCCTGTTCTCATGTGAAGCTGATCTGCAGAATACTGCAGTTTTATGAGGAACATATGCAGTACATTGAGTCAATTTTGCATTTAATTGTTTTGCATGGAAGAGGGACCCTGTTAATATGTGCTTTGACTTTCCCCTTGAAAAAAAGTGTATGCGATCTTTGGTTACTGATATTAAGTAATTGATATTGAATTGTCAGGTGCCTATAGATCAGGATGTCTCTTCTTGTACCCAATATATTTTAACAGTTATTGTAACATTTTAAAATACAGTTAATGTTCCTCAGAAAACTAGTTTCTCAGAGAAGATCTCTTTTTAAGTAATAGAAAACAAGGCTGTTTTTGTAACTTCAACAGATTTTTCTTTGGCATCACAAAGTCTAAAATATCTGATAATGTTGCATTTTACTGTTGCTGTTGTGGCTGATTGCCCGTTGCTGTGGCAAGGCAAGAGGGTGATCAGCACAGTTTGTCATTAATTGCCTTGTTTTGCTGTTTCTCAGTATATCATTAGCCTTCTGCAGGTCTCCCACTACTGGGGTTTGATGGCAGATTGATTTCAGAAACTTGGAAGGATTTTTGACCATCACAGTGATATGGATCGGGGAATCCTGCATGGAAAAGTCCAAGCTTGTGCTAAATAATTTTTCTCATTTTTGTGTCAAAGCATTTTGCAAGCACTCCCTGCATTGTTCTCGTATTCATTCATTGATGGAAAAAAATTGGTTTATTTCACTTTCATCTGTACCTTAGTTTGTAACTTCTTTTTATTATTTCCAAGTAGCTACCCAAACTGTTTTATGTTCTTTATTTTACCTGTGATACATGTTGCCAAACTCTCTACTTACATGCAACCTCCATTCTTTGCTGAATGTGACAGAAATCTTTTATTTACATGCACCAGTGCCTTGCATGCTCCTAAAGGCACTGGCCACTTCACTTGCATGCATATTTGCACCCCCATTGCTTGGGCTTAGTACATCGGGGTCCCCTGGCCCTACAAGAGTGGCAAAGATGGTCAAACACCCATTCCTCAGCTCTCTACAACATGGTCACATTGTGTTATAGAGACGGTTAGCGTCAAAGACCCACCGGATGTGTTGGACAGGCAGAAATGCCTGGATGCTCTAGCTGCTCTACGCCATGCTAAATGGTTCCAGGTTCGACCACATATTTATCTTTTGCTTTGCAGCCTTATGTTGATATTGGGAAGGGAAATGGCAGCTGTGTTAAAGTTGATAGTGGGGGCACTGCACCAATGTTAACTTACAAGTAGTGTACTTGGTTTTTTGAGTACAGATTCAATGTAGTATGTTTGTTTTCTTTAATAAATTTTTTCTGTAAATTTTTCTCTCAAAAATTTTCATGTTAATAAAAGCTGCCATGTGATAGGTTAGGTGGGTGGGAATGAGTGAATAAAGGTGTTAGTTGCTCTTAATACCTTCAAACATGGTGTTTGTCTTGCAGTGAATGCATGTGGACCTAGGAGGCTCACACCTGTATAGTGCAGTCATTGTAAACAAATGCTTTATTTGATTGGTGTTTTGATCAATTGGCAACTGTATTCCTCCTGGGGTATTGCGTACATCTTATAAAAGGATATTAGTGCTGTTAAGTAGAGTCCGTATTGAGCATGAGGCTGGAAAGTCCTTTGCATGTTTGCGTCCTTGGAAAAAATTTGTTTCACTGTATGATTGAATAACCTTTAACTTCACAAAAAAAAAAAAGGAAAATGTTTGTACTTTGGGCGCAAACTAGAAAAGCGTGGAGACAGCTTGACCTTGGTTTAAATAACGACTTAATGAGATAAAAAAAAAAGTATGTCCATACACACTTTGGATAATTTTAGACTGTTTCAGAAATGAACTGCTCTGAAATGATACATCATCTTTTGAGGACAAAATTGATTGAAAATGTCATTTGTACTGATGATGCATGTGTCTGGTTCATACTTCTCATGATATTTGATGATCCTCATACCTTTCATCTGTGTCGTTGAATACAGGCTAGAGCAAATGGACTGCAGTCCTGTGTGATCATCATCCGTATTCTGAGGGACCTGTGTCAGCGCGTACCAACATGGGCACCCATGAATGAATGGGTAAGTGAGACAGTATATTTGAGTGAATTGAATTATCATGTTTGGGAATAAGCATTTACCTTTGCTTTTGTGTGAAGCACATGTTTGCTTTCAGAACATTTTAGACATACAGGATGTTAAGTTTCATTATAACAAAAGAAAGCAGTTGCAGGTAGTGTAGAAGTAAAATAATGTCGTGTTGATATTTTCAGGCTATGGAGCTGTTGTCAGAGAAGTGTGTAAGCAGTGGAGGGCCAGCCATGGGCCCCGGGGATGCCCTGAGAAGAGTCTTCGAGTGTATTGCGTCTGGAATACTGCTGCCAGGTATGATTCAGAATTTCATTTATAATGAAAGGTCATTTTAACTTGTTGTTCTGATATCAAAACAACAGCTCAAAAAGAAACATTTCTTGGTGCATTCAAGCAGTTCTTCCACAAGGTGCAGCCTGTAAAGCAGTTTATTTCTTGTTTACCTAGGTGGTCCTGGTTTACTTGATCCCTGTGAGAAAGAGCCAACCGATGCTGCTGGGTCACTAACAAATCAAGAACGTGAGGACATCACTGCAAGTGCACAGGTATTTATATTATCTATTCCTAAATTTCCTGCACATAGATTGTTAAATCCAAATAAATAAAATAAGTGAAACATTTAAAGCCTCTTAGATGATAGTAAAAGTCATTAAAATACTTACTTGTGCAGAGGTAAATGCTAGAATTCACATTTGGCTTCTTTTAAATAAAGGTAAATTATGTATACAAAACATATGAAATTGATTTGAAATCTCATAACATGCTTTCTTGTAAATGAACAGCTTCACCTTGTATATTTATTCGAAATTATTTTTGATATTTTTTAACATTGCAGCATGCACTACGTCTCATAGCATTCCGTCAGATTCACAAAGTCCTGGGCATGGACCAGCTGCCAGCCCCTAGGTTCCAGAGAAGACCATTTGGGAATCGCAAGAGGCGAAGAACCAACAGCACAGGAGAGGGAGAGGCCAATGAAGGTAATTTCCATTTCATTTCAATGACTGTTTCTTATAAAGATTTTATTAAAATGATAAATACTCTAGTGGGGTTAGTTTTTAATGCCAAAATTGTTTGAATGGATATTGAATCAAATATTTTTGTTTGTATTTTTAGGAGATGGCAAGAAAGACAAAAAGGAAGGAGAAGGGGAAACGATGGAAACTGGTGATAATGCTTGAGCAAGAGACAACAGCAGTGTGAATATTTTGCAGTGTCATAAAACAGACAGAAGGACTGTAATTATTGTAGCAGTGACCTTGTCACTTTTGTTGTTTCTTGTACTGTAATTTGTATGTGGTTTATTCCACATATCAGATAGAACTAACTTACAGTACAAACTTGTCCTCACAGCAGTTGTTAGGAAGGAGAGCTTTAAAGATTTAAGCTTGTTATAAAGCTTAGGGAAACAATAGGTCTTGGGTTATTTGCAACAGTGTCCAAAGGACATTTAGTGGACTGGAGTAGTTTTACAAATGGCTGCATAATGTTGCATCTGTGAAAAAGACATTCTGCAGATGGGACTGCTTGCTTAAATGCGGTTGTTATTTGACAAGAACTTTTCTGGCTCAACTGTCATTTCATAAGACTGGTCTAGACTTTCCAGCTCGATTGCGATTACTAAAAACAGACCTCTATCACTTGTCGTTCAGTTTCTGTACTACACAACTGTCTACACAACACTGTGCATGTTCTGTTTGTTACAGATCTAGTAGAATTTGAGTTAGTTTTGTTCTCTTTTTGAAGATTTAATCAAAAGTTGTAAAAAGTAAAAATAAGAACCAAAGTTGATTTCGAAGTCTTACCCACAGAGAGTCCTGTGTGGCATCTGTTAAGTGCAAGGATTGCACTTATTTTAATATTAGGGACTTTTTGATTACTTGCATTAAAAAACCTTTTCTGTTTAACAATAAAGGTGTTTGTGCAAATTATTTTTTTTTTTTTTTTAGATGGTTTGTCTGGTCAGTTTGCTTGTACTGGGAAATATGTCAAATGTATTTAATCATAGCTGTTGAACAAAAGATCTGTTTCAACTCTTGGAAAGTACCAAACCCATACACACACACACACACACAAAGTGACACTAGGAGTAATGGAACAAGAAAGTTACACTTCACATGAAAGGTACAGTCAACAAAACTCTATTGCAATGCTTTTATTTACTTTCAGGAAAATCAACATTAATAAATCTTACAATGTTGTCCACTTTATGCAAGAGCTCAAAGAAGTTGGAGTTCCTGAAAACCAATATCAAACATGTCTTCTAGAAGGCAAGTTGTCTGCAGTGTTCCATTACATGCTAGGGCTGAGCTTCTGGTCAAAAGCTGTGGTGTCTAATTGTTAGATGTTGGATGTTATTTCCCTAAACTAAAATGTCTGAATTCAGTAGATGTGGTTTCCCTCAAGGTGTGTTATGCTATGCTGTTATATTGCTATAGATTAAGTTCTGTGTGCCAAACCAGAGTATATGGAGGGGATGCATCTGTTACTGTGCCTAAATCTCTTTCACAAACCTGGAAAGCTTACTTGCATTTTGTGAGTTACCTTGGCTTTAGAAAACATTTGGAATCTAATCTTTGCTAGGAAGGAGCAACTACAGCTGTTTCAGTGCAGAGCTACTTCAAGAACACAAAATATACCAGACAACAACTACACTGGATTCGCATAGAATGCACTCACACCGTTTTACACAAAAAATTTCAGTGATGCATTTTTTTCTTCAATAATCCATTTTCCTGCAGTTTTGTAATGCTGGCTATACAACAAAGGGTTCTAATAAAACCTGCACTTAGAATGGCTGCCCATGCATCTCGACTCCACAGGAATTGCAATGACCGTGGGCAGCCCACAATCTGCAGCACTTGTGTTGAAGTAGACAGACATTTACTTATTCCAGCTTTAAAAACTGTTTACCTTTTAGTTGTTTGAAACTTGCCTACTGACAGTTCTCAGAAAATTAAAAATGGTATCTTCAAGCTAGGTAACCTTCCAAAATCAAGCATGTCTGCCCTCCCAAATAAAATACTGGGGAAATTTAATCTAGGGATTATTATTAGACTTCAGTCATTAAGATGTATTCCCTTTCTCAGTAGCAGGTAGTCTACCCATTTCACTACCTTCACGTCAAATTCACACTCATTTGTTTTAAAATAGATGAAAGTCTTATTAATCTCCTACCATTAGTCACCCTTGAGAACTACAAATTACTGATTAATATTACAACAGCAATTTAATAATTCAGATGGTAAACTGCTGCATTAAATAATTAAACCCATCAAAAATATTCAATTTTATACTTCCCTTAAACCAAGAAAATATTTCTGTTGCAGTAATTTTTTGCCTGCAATTTCTTTGATTTTGCCAGTGCCAATTGAACAAATAAAGGTATATTTCAATGACATCTAATGGTACTGCAAAGGCAGAACCCTTTTTCTGACACACTCGTCAATGTCTAGATGTAATAAAAGATGTCTGGAGTACTTGATAAGCAGTACAATTTCACATTACAAAATTGCAAATAACTCTCTCAATAATTTTTCAATAATTCTTTGACCTTAAATTATAAGTATAGTTCTGAGCACCTCACTGTTGAAACAGTCAATGAAAACTGCAAATTTGTGTAGTAATCATAAGAGAAAAATATCTGGTCATCATTTGCTTCATAACATCTGCTCTGTATGCCAACCTGATAGTCATCAATAACTTCCAAGGCCTCCAAACCAAAACAAGCTGAGCAAATGCTTTACATAAAATTGATTTCTGAATATCTTTTATCGTTTTGATAATTGGGTATTGAGGAGGACCATTTCCTTCACAGGTCGACTAGGGCCTTGCTTCTTCAACCACCAACCCTTCACTCCATGACATTTGATTGCTGCTGTTCCCGCTGCTGCTGGTCTCCTGGTAGCTACCAAAATCGGTGCCACACAAGTAGTTTCCTCAGGTCTGTCAAACCATTTCTGGCAACCTCTGCTCCATGCAGCATTGAGTCCTGTGAGAGCTTCTGCTTCCTGCAAGGTCCCTTTTCCTTCTTGTCTCCCCTCTCCCACCCACGCTTTCAAGCGACCGGTCACTCCTGACTTCATCAATGGATGTTGAGATAACTCTGTAGAACATCTTCCGTTTTTATCTTATCCCATAGTGTTGGCTTCCCTCAGTGTAGACCTAGTACTGTGAGAATTGGCCTCCCTGGGACAGTGGCTGAGATGGGAAAAAGGCACGGTCCCCTTGGTAGGTGGAGTCCTGAGACAGCAACATGTCTGCCTGAGACTTGAATTCTTCACCCATGTAGCTGTCCTGGAATGGGCAATTCAAACTCACACGTTAACCACAATATTCTCTTCAATCACAATATTCTCCAGACTCCAACTCCAATTCAAATTATTGCATTCTTTTTTTTTTTTAACTGACAAACCACCAAGCAACTGTTGAGAACTTCCTAGTTTTTCTTATTCCTTTTACATATGTCCCTAAGGTCGGGCTATGAAAACAGTTGAAAATTACTGTTTTCATGCATGAAACCAAAGGCTTGATTTCTGCCTTAGTACTATCATACCTCTTATGCTCATGAGTATAAAGCACAGAGGCAACCACAAGGCAGGTGGGGAAGGGAAATTGTAATGACAGTGTACAACTGAAGTGTTGTAGTAAACAAGTAGAAGACAGACATACCTGTGAGAGTTCAGGCTGAGAAAGGCCAGACAGTCCTGGTTGACTCATGGTGAAAGGCTGGCTCATGGACAAACCACCTTGAGTGAGAGGGCCCTGGGAGTAGGGCTGTGTGCCATCCTATTATAAACAAAAACAGGCATCAATTCATGTTATCATACATGCAGCATCAATGCACTGAAACAGAAAAATGCAGGCACACTAAAAACATTAACAGACTTTTGCTTAGACACTTAAGGTGTAACAATTGAGAACGCAATGTCACATATAACAAACCTGACTGGCTTGACTGCTCATCAGAGAGTTTTGGGACATCTGCGAGGTGTTCTGCTGTGTATAACGAGGAGGTTTCTGTCTTCCTCCCTTCTGACCTCCTCTTCTCGCTGCACCTCCACGACCACCTAGGAAATTCAAAATACAATAGTACAAACAAGATCTCCATCTTTTTCCCCCCCCCACATAGATTTGCTAACCATTTTAGCACTTATCCCACAAAAAAGTGAAGATCATTAAATTTGAGTCTTGTTAAATATTTACCAAGCATCTGTTGCTGGTAGGCAGGCTGCATTGGTGGTATGAACATGCCCACTGGAACTGGCAGGCTGGCAGTGTATGCCCTCTCAGGTCCTATGTAGCCTAGCTGGTCATGTGTGGGGATAAACAGTTCCCTCTGGAAGTTGGTACCTCCATTCATCATGTGGCTCCTGTCATACACGCTGCCTGGGATCATGGCTTCACGGGCACTGAACATGGTGTTACTCATGAAACGGCCACCCTGAAGAAAGGAATCCAGATACTGTAATGTCTGCTACAAAAACATATATTGTTTTTTTTATATTTTTTAATACCATTACAATATCTATAACTGCCATTCAACAATTGCAACAGCACATGAAATTTTTTGACCAGTCTCTGATGTCGGGCTATTAAAACATTTGAACACACCAGTTCTTATGCAACTAACTAACTAAAGGCCTTGTTTCTGCTTTACAATTGTTTCAACTCTAATACTTACAACTCGGAGGCAACCAACAAGCAAATGAGTATAAATGAAGCATCAGACTTCTCAGAGCATACAGTCAGATGCAGCATAAAATGTGCAAATACACATTGGAAAGAATTCAAAAATCAATATTTATGAGCAAGCACACTTGTACACTCCTGTTCCCATTAGTGCACTTACAGGATTTGCAGCATTAACCAGTTTTCTGGGTTTGCTGAACTGAATCATGCTCTCTTTGAGGTTGTTCAGTGGCCCTTCCACTAAAACTTTCATCTCCTTGTAATGAGTCAGCAAGTGGTTCCACAGTGGTTGCTGAAAACAAGTAAAAAAAAAATTATCTACTATCCAACATACCACTGTTTTAAACAAAATACTTATATGTTAAAAGAGATCTACTTTATTGCATGTAACAAATGGCTAAATTCTTACAGAAATGTTTCATACCTTAGAGAGCACTTTGGGGTTTCCAACCACAATGTTACCATACCTAGAAATGGCAGAAATCAGTTCAGTCTAATAGCATCATAATTTTCAAGAACAGAATAATGTATGCATTGTATTTTTCAAGTTACAAATTCTAATCAGCAGCACTGATAACTATAATATTATAAATTACGACTACTTATAAAAAAAAAGGCCAAAAAACCTTTATAAAAAAAAGGAATAATTGAATCCTATCCAATTTTGAACTTTCATTTTAAGCCCACAGGTAACCCCAGCAGGTTTCAGCAAAGTAGAGTTTGCATGTGAATTATATAAGGCCAAAGTGATTAAGGGAAAAAGAAACTAGAGGATCAGAGAGGCGATACCGCCTCCAAATATTGTACCACCAGCTGGAGCAAACGCATTCGTATAGACCCCCACATACACAAAATAAGGGACACAGCCACCAGTTTTGTGCTTGACAAGCTGTAAAAATGCAATCAACAAGAATTTTTTAACTATTGCAAAAAATATATATGGTACAATCAAATTTAAGTTCTTCGTAAGGTAGGTCAAGGGTCAATTTCAAGGTCACAGTAAATTGCCAGTATATGACTTCCTATTCAAGTTCAAGAGTAACTATGGACCTATCTCTGTCAAGTTTGAAGTTAAAAGAGAAAGAAATTAGCAGAGTTCAGTTCATGATAAAAAGTAGGTCAAAGGTCAATTTCAAGGTCACACTTAGATTGCCAGTATAGGACTTCCTATTCAACTTCAATAGTAACTATGGACCTATCTCAGCCAGTTTTGGAGATAAAAGGGAAGCAAAATTTGCAAAATTCAGTTCATGGTGAAAAGTAGGTCAAAGGTCAATTTCAAGGTCACATTTAGATTGCCAGTATATGACTTTCTATTCAAGTTCAATAGTAACTATGGACCTATCTCTGCCAGTTTTGGAGATAAAAGGGAAGCAAAATTTGCAAAGTTCAGTTTATGGTGAAAAGTAGGACAAAGGTCAATTTTAATGTCACATTTATAATGCCAGTATATGACTTCCTATTCAAGTTCAATAGTAACTACGGACCTATCTCAGCCAGTTTTGGAGATAAAAGGAAAGCAAAATTTGCAAAATTCAGTTCATGGTGTAAAGTAGGTCAAAGGTCAATTTTAAGGTCACATTTAGATTGCCAGTATATGACTTCCTTTTCAAGTTCAATAGTAACTATGGACCTATCTCTGCCAGTTTTGGAGATAAAAGG